TCCTGCTGACCCCAGATGCAAACGGAAAGCACACAAGATGGGTATTTTTTGTGCCCTAAACTGTATTTTGTAAAAAGAACTAACCTATCTATATTGTATCATCCATCCCTTCCCTTGATTGGCTTTAAAAAACGAAACCACATTGGAAAGAAGTCCATTCCTTTTTCTTCAAAGACAACACGTCCGTTCAGTTGTTTTCCCATTCATTCTTTCACTTCCCCATCCAGAAAGCACTTCTGACTGTTACTATGTTCTGAGGGCTGTGCTTGGAGCTGGGACACAGCTGTCAATAAAACAGAGACACTTCCAACCCTCAGAGAACGTAGAATCCAGCACAGAGCTTTTCAGATTGTCATGTGCCGCCAGATCGTGTTAAAAGGCAGATTCTGATTCAGCAGGTCTGGGCTGGGGCGCGTCACTCTGCATTTCTACAAGCTCCCAGGAGATGCTTAGGCTGCTGGGCCTCGGAGCACATTTTGAGGAGTAAGGAAATGGGAACCACAAGGCAACAGAATAAGTGTTTACAGAACATGCATTTCTCGGAGGCAGAGGGGCCAGGCGCTATGGCAGCCTGTTGCAGAGTGATGTGACCTGGGGTAGCGAAGCCCTCCTGGGAAAAAGGAAATGTCAGGGCATCCTCACGGCCGAGTGGGAGTCAAGGAGAGGAGTGGAAGGGGTGCATCCCACGCGGAGGAGGCCATGTGTGCAAAGACCGAGGGGGAGGGCACCGGCGCCAGGGGCCGAGAGCTCAGCGGATGGGGCAGGTGGCACAGTCTGCAGAGCCAGGCAGAGCCGGAATCTGAGGCTCTCAGGCCACATCAAGGAGTGTGAGAGGCCACTAAAGTGTATAAGTGAGGCTCAGCTGAGTGGCCTTGCATTTTAGATAGATCACTCTGGCCGCATAGCCTGGAGGGGGACAAAAGTGGCAGAAGTTGACCACTGTTATAGACATCCTGGTAAGGGATGATGCTGGCTGTCTCCAGGAGACCAGGGAGGTGACAGTGAGGAATGTCTTTGGCCCCTAAACATGGCCACATTGAGTAGAGATGCATTCCTCATCCCCCACCCCACCCCCCGACCCCTAGGTGTCTCTTATCACCGTTTGGGCATCCTTGGCCCCACCCCTCTGCTCAGATGGAATCCCCGGGACATGTGGCTAGTGGACTGTTTTCAAAAACTCTGATGCGTTGGTCGTGCTGTGCCTTCCCACAGACAAATGTGCTTCAGGAGGAGGAAGCCAGCTGTGAAGATTTCTCCCAGCTCCTGAGGAGCTTTGAGCACTGGCTGCAGGTGGATAATTCCAAGTTGGTTAGAATCATCGCCATGAGAACTGCCACCGCCAAGGACCTGAGGACCAGAGAAGCAAAACTGCAGGTTTGTTCCCAAGGAAAGGCCCTGTTTCCGAAGGATTTGCCCCCAGAGATGTGCTTGTCGCCAAGGAGTTCTAAAAACAGGAGCACATACATAGCTCTTGAGCTGTTCTGGCTTGTGTATAAATAATAGTTTTTAAAACTTTTTTGCCTCAGGGCTTCCCTGGTAGCGCAGTAGTTAAGAATCTGCCTGCCAATCCAGGGGACAAGGGTTCGATCCCTGGTCCAGGAAGATCCCACATGCCGCGGAGCAGCTAAGCCCGTGCGCCACAACTACTGAGCCTGCGTTCTAGAGCCCACAAGCCACGACTACTGAAGCCCGCGTGCCTAGAGCCTGTGATCCGCAACAAGAGAAGCCACCGCAATGAGAAACCCGCGTGCAGCAGTGAAGACCCAACGCAGCCAAAAATACATAGATAAATTGGTAAAAAAAAAAAAAAAAAAGAAGAAGAAAACTTTTTTGCTTCAAATATTTTAGAAGAACCATCCATTCATTCATCTATTCATTCAGCCTACTGCTGTAGTCCCCAACTTGGAAAATATCACCACTAATCACAATTCTTTTATCGGTTAACTCTTGCTATGGAACAAGCCATTCCAACAGTTTGTAGCTTAAGAGAACAACTGTTTATTTAATTCATGATTCTGAAGTTTGGCAATTCAGACTGACTGAGGTCAGCGGGCATTGCTTCTGATCTTGGCCGGGTGCCCTTATTTGTAGACCAGCAGGGTGGTTGTCCTCTGGAGCTTGGTGGGCTATTCGAGATAAGCACGAATCTCTTATCTCTTATCCTCCTGCAGGGCAGCCTGGGCTTCCCAGAACAGAGGCAGGGTCTGAGAGAGCGAGTGGGGGCATGCAGGGCCTTTGCAGGCCTAGGCTAGAAACTGGCACAACATCGTTTCCCCTGCATTCTGTTGGACAAAGAAAGTCACAAGGCCGGCTCAGATTCAAGGGGAGAGAAAACAGACTCCACCTCTTGATGGGAAATGTTGCAAAGGCATATTGCAAAAGGCATGGATATGGCAGGGGGCTGGAGGGATATTCCATCTACCACAAATCTTTCTCTTTCTCCCACATCGAATTAGTCGCCAAGCCCTTCTTGATTCCACCCCCTGGGTTTTTGTTGTTTGTTTCCTCACTACCACTGTCTTAATCTAGGCATTTATCATTTTTGACCTTGACTATGACAATAGCCTCCAAGCTGGCCTCCCTCCTTCCTGTTGGGTCTGCATCTCAGTAATGGCTCATTCTGTAGCCAGAGTGACCGTTCAGAATCCTAAATATGACCTTGTCTTCGCCCAGTGAAAACATTTCAGTGTAGAGTTCAACCTCCCGAGTTTATCACGCAGGGCCTTATTCTGTGGGCTGCCTCTTAAGTGAAATCTGAATGGCTCCTCCAGACCAACCAGGTGGGACCTCCCCGGCCATTTGGAAGGCAAACATGACCCTGTCTTTCTCCCTCTAGGAGCTGGAGGCTCGGGTACCAGAAGGTCAGCATCTCTTTGAAAACCTCCTTCGTCTCAGGCCAGCAAGGGGGTCCTCAGATAAGCTGGAGGATCTGCGCTACCGGTGGATGCTCTACAAGTCCAAACTAAAGGACTCCAGCCACCTGCTTGTACGTGCTAAGGATGCACAGGTCCCAGGCCCTGGGGAGACATAGCTGGGCCCGCATCCACTCTGCCCCATGCCTCCACAGACCAGGCTGAGGGGACCACTCAGAGAGAGGAGACGGAGACTCATGGGTCCTAGGCACGTGACTTGCAATTTGTCATTTGGCTCTCCTGCCACCCATTGAAGCTGGAGCTCCAATAACAACAGCTTTGCTACTTACCAACCTGAAACCGTTACGTGCATCGTCCCATTCAGTGCTTACAGTAGCCCTCTGCCGGAGTAATTGCATCTGCAGCCTTCAGGGTGGGGCTGAGACTGTGAAGAGTTAAAAAACTCACCCAAGTTCACATGGCTAGGAAGGGGCAAAGCCATCACTAAACGCACCCTGGTGTTGGAGGCATGACAGAGGGAACGCTGGAGTGGGACCTGCGATCTAGGCCCCCTCCCCCACTAACCTGCTTTGTGACATTGAGGAAGCACCTTCCCCCAGGCGCCCCCAAGTCTCACACAAAACAATAACAATAGCTAAACTCATAACAGCCTTTATTAAATGCTATGTCCTCATTACGATCTTATAATGGAGGTACCGTTATCCCTGAGCACTGATAGGGAAACTGAGGCACGGAGGTTAATCCAAGGACAGGGTGGGTGGCCTCCTGGAGCCCTTTAGGCCCTCAGACCCCAGACTCCAAGCTTTGGGGCTGCAGCTTTTCTGGCCTTGAAACGGCCATGTCGGCCACTAGGTGTCACCCCAGCCCCAGCCAGGTCAGCATGCCCGTGGCCTTGGCCCAGGGCTTCCCAGACAGGATCCCCACCTGGGCCCCAGGCCCGTTAAAAAGCTCATTAAATTGAATCACCTGCTGGTTCAGCCTGTCCAGATGACCACAAGTTTTAAAGAAACACTCCCCTGACAAAATGAATATTCCATTACAGGCTCTGCTGGGATTTAAGTTTCACTCACTTAACTTCGTTTTTTTTTTTTTTTTTCCCTTTTCCTCTCCTTACCTAAAATAACAGACGCAGAATTCTCCAGGGGAGCCGACTGGATTCCAAAAGGTACGGTGTCTGCCATCTGCTCCACACAGCTAGAGGGCAGGGCATTTGGAGGGTTGCTGGGCCTGTGACGCTGGGACAGGACCCCTGGGCTTTCTGGAAGGTTCCATGAGGTCTGAGGGACGTTTCTGGGGAATTGGCTCTGGGCTGCACTGTGCTGGGCCCCGGGGGTCCTTGCTCTCAGGGACGCGCAGAGTGTTCTCAGCTGTGACAGGACACTGGAGGAGTGAGCAAGGACACTGCTGTGACAGCAGTCGTAAACTGGGATGGTCCCAGGAAACCTGGACCACTCTGGGTCACTGGACCTCGCGGCCACCTGAGTAGTAGACGGGCATCCGGGGGGGACAAAAGAGGAAGGGGTGAAGCGCTCAGAGCCCCTCCCCGCGGGGCTTGCAGGCCAAAGCAATGACAGTAACAGCAGTAATCATAGTAATAATGAGGAATAAGAATTATTACTCTACGTGCTACGTGTTGACCCTCCAGTGTGTGCCAGGTTCTGTGCCAAATCGTGGTGAGGGCGTTTCACTTAACTGTCCCCTAGATACCCAGCAGGCATCGCTACCGCCATGTTAAGCATGAGGCAAACAAGGGAAGGCAAGATCGGAGTGACATGTCCAGTCAAGGCGCATGGCTCCTGAGTGGCCTCTGGCTTCTGCCTCCTAAGCCCACACGTAACCATCCACGCTGTGCCTTGGAGAAAGCATCCCTGGGGGCTGGAGGCCCTCCCCACTTCTGGAAAAGTCCCGTGTAAATTGGTGTCCCCAGTGCCACCTTTTCTGAGAGCACGCTTGTTGTCCTGACAAGCGTTGGCTCATGACGTGAGCCTGCCGCACGCTCTGCTCCAAAGCGCCCCAGGGCCACGAGATCTCTCGGGCCCTGCAGTCTGTGTTCCCAGGGGCTCTGTCCACCTGGACTTCTTGGTCTCCAGCTGGTGTTCCTATCTCCATCTGTGGGACAGCAGGTGTCCCCGGGACTGGCTGGGGCAGTCACAAGACCAATGCTGTGCTCTGGGCCTGGCGTCCACCAGCTTTGCGGCCTTGGGCAAGTTGCTTTGACTCTTGGGGCTTACTTTCCCCATCTGTAAAATGGAACCATCAGTGCCGACTTTATTTACTTCATGAACGAATTTTGAAGATCATGTGAACTGTTGTTCGTTCTTTAGAGGAGACCCGGAAGCCCTGGTTTTCCCCCTGATTTAGAAGAACAGAGGGCCTCCTCATGAAGTGGGGAAGCACATCAGGAAGGCAGGGTGGCGCGCACAGCCCAGCCTGTGACTCCTGGTGGCACAGGGGGCTCAGGGCCCGGTGTCCAGGCTCTCTCCAACTCCTGCTCTTTAAGCCACTCTGGTTGGGAGCCCCCATCTATGTAGCTCCCAGGCCAGAGTCCAGGCGCAGTCATGTCTGGGTCCTGTGGTGTTTTTGAGTAGGGGGGCACTTGGCTGGCTGACACCAGCCCTGCAGTGCAGACTCAGGTCTCTGGCAGCCTGAAACCGGTTCATGTGGGGTGTTCACAACCCTAGGTTCATTGGCCGGCTCCTCATTCATTCATTTCACAGATATGTACTGAGCACTGACTTTGTACCGAGCACTGTTTCAGGTACTTGGGATAGCTCACCAGAGCAAAGGCCTGCTCGGGGAGTGCTGGGTGGAGGGGTTTGGGAGAGAGGCTCACACTCACAGCCGGTGTTGCCCTCACGATGTTGAGTCTCTGGCCAGGGACCGCCCAAGGACAGCAGTGGCTTAAGGTCTTTACAGCTACAGGGTTGATCTTATCTATGACTGTCCACGTTGGGCACAGTTTCGTGGGATATGCAAAGCAGGCAGACTCTATAAATGGCTAAAAAAATCTGCTTATTCAGGCTTCATTTCAAAACAAATGGATGTGTGAAGGTTTGAGTTTGGTGCTGGCTGGCTTTTGAGCTCATGGGTCTCAGCCCCTTGTAAAGAAGCAGGCAGCTCGGAAGCCCATGTGCAGAGGCAGCTGGGGCTCCTTTATGTGAGCTTGTCTCAGCACAGATTTCTGGGTCCCGCACCCAGAGTTTCTGACGCATTAGGTCTGGGGGGCCCTAGGATCTGCATTTCCATCGAGCTCCCAGATGATGCTCTTGCTGCTGGCCTGGGGACCAGACTTTGAGAACCGCTGCTGTACGCTCTGGATCTGAGTCCAGGATCCACCATCAGTGTGTGTGACCGTTGGCGAGTCACTTAACCAGAGTTTTCCAAGGAATAAAATGCGGGTCCGCTGAACAAATAGCTCTTATCGTAAACCAGCAGATTCTTTTTTTTTTTTTTTTAATGTGCTTTGCTTCTTTTTTTTTAAAATTTATTTTTATTGGAGTATAGTTGATTTACAATGTTGTGTTAGTTTCAGGTGTAGAGCAAAGTGAATCAGCTATACGTATACATATATCCACTCTTTTTTAGATTCTTTTCCCATATAGGCCATTACAGAGTATTGAGTAGAGTTCCCTGTGCTCTACAGTAGGTCCTTCTTA